CTACACCAGGAGATGCCGGACTAGAGCAGCGCAGATACTGAAGGACCCGTCCCATCCTGGCAACAAACTGTTCCAACTTCTGCAATCTGGTAGAAGGTGAACCTTGAATACTGAAGAGTGATGCATGACAGGCTACATTTTAGGACTATCTAGGCAACCGGAATTTCAACTAGCAACCAACTGTGAAGTTCAATGTGATGCTTAACATTCGAATCACTCCGTGTGTGACGGCAGCTTCAGTGAGACCAAGCACGAGTAGCATGAAACGATGGAGGTGGGTTGTAAAGCAACTTGCAGAGACAACAATAAGAGCTTGCAGGCCAGCAGCTTAAACAGCAAACCACGAATAATATCTGCCAGCCATCTGCTGATGTAGTGAGGCACTGAGGTCAGCTGGTCAGCCTGGGTTTTCTCGCCAAGTCTGACTTCTTTCAGCTTTAGCCCTGCCAGATCTAAAGCTATTTGTTGCACTTAAAATGTTCCATCTACAAGATCTCAACGTCTGAGCGTAAAGTGAAAACAGTGTCATTTCCACTCGTTGCGTTTGTACGTGGTGGGTCAGATATGAGCATCGGCAGTATGACTGTTTCGAGGTTTTGCACCACTAATTTGTCTAACATTCAGTTAGCAAAATGTTTACTTTTTAAAGGTTGCTTTAATCACTTCCATTATTTATGCGGGTATAATGTCTAACAGCAAATAGAGACGGTAGTTTTCTACACCAGCAAGCAGATGAATGCCTAACAACGATCAGCCTTGAGTGCTAATTTAAAGCAGAGCTGTGCTGAGTTATTTGACGATAATGCACAACCTCCAGCCATTATTACATTTGTTTTCCCCATTGCATTACATAAATAATTGCAATTCCTAATTTTTCACTTTAGCAGTTGTAGTATTGCGAGCCATTAATACTTCTTTAAAAGTTTTCTGATCAATTATATAAACATTGTGAACATTTCTATAGACTTTTAGAGGCATAGACGAGCGCAAACTATCGAACGGCAAACTTGTTTAGTTGTCGAGTTAAGAGAAAAAAAACAAAAAACAAAAAAACAAGCTAACCTGATGAATTCAGACTGATCCGGGTCATACAGAGACATTAGCAGCTCGGCATCTTCTCCAATGTTACACACAAAGTTTTTCAAGTTCATGAACAAGCTGTAGGTGTGCACTGTACTGAAAAGAGTCTGACGCCTCATTTCCAGGTTCTGTAGCCGTGTCTGGATGAAAACAAGGCCGGAAACAGTGAGTGGACAACAACATTAAATGAAACTGACAGCCAGTGATAGTATCAACAAATCGGAACTGTGCCTTCTCCTCTTGTATCCTGTCATCAACGCTGCGGGAGGCGGTCTCATGGGCCCGGAACAGGCTGACCGTACTAGTCCTGTCAGGATTCAGCATGTTTCCCGCTTCATCCCGCACTACCAGGTCCAGACCCAGAATCCTGAGCAAGCCAGAAGATCAACACAGCATCAAATAAGTTTACAGAAGCAATTTTAAAAGGCTCACCCATACAACCTGAGGAGATTTGACAACAATAATAGTTCCTAAAGGATAAAAAAAAAAAAAAAGGATTCATACCGGTTTCCATAATCAATCTTTGCTGTGACTTTCTTTTTGAGCTCTACAAGGTCATCCTTGGGCAGCGTTCCTGACACTATCTGAGATCGATATTCGATGAGGCTGTAGGCCATCTGCTGCACAGTCCTGAACAAAATTGTCTTGTTCTCCTGCCAGGTAAACAGGTTTTATTATAAGTAATACCTTTCTTCAGAGGAATGAAGAGCAATGCAACTTTATAACAAAAGTGTGTCAAAGGGGTGAAAAACAGAGGTGCACGGAACTGTGTGTACTAAAGTCAGAGTGGCAGATAAAAGAAAAAAGTCTCCACATACCACATACAGCTTCTGCCATATCTGGGCCCATTCCCTCAGAGTAGCTCCGAGCTCTTGTACCAGGGGTAAATCGGCCGGAATAATTATTTCCTGCTGGCTACCAGCCACAAAAAGAGAATAGAAAGACATTGGAAAAGTGGCTCATCACTCACAGATCATGTCATATAATTTGGATAGATTCAAGTGCTTTTCTATACATGATAAATAGGTGGATGGTTTCCTTACACAGCCAAGAAAAGCATTACTGAGTCCTCACTTATGATAATTGTAAGTGCACTGCTATGTTGCTGGCAAAACACAAGGCTGGACAGCAAACCAAAAGCAGAGCAGATTATCATCAAAATGATCTGTTTACTGATATGTGATCTCACCCTATTCCCTCAACCGTAGCCTCCTTTAAGTGGATGTAGGAAGCAGGGAAAATGCCCTGAAGAAAAAGAAAAATTTCATAGTGATCAGTAAATTACACACACACATACACACCAAGACAATGATGATAATATAGCACTATTGCCCATACCTTCTGTGATTTCCTGCGTAGAGCATAGCCCCTATACCAGCCTAAGAAGACATAAATTACCCAACAAAAACGTTACACTGAGGGATAGAGCGAGATAGGAGTGATGTCAGGAGGACAATGTAATAGACTCATTTACATTACTATGCATAACACACTGAGTGCCAGTTAGTTCAACATCTCATTTAAGTTCCTGTGTCAGCTTGCTTTAGATTAGGGGAAAGAGGGATGTGTCGGGGCCTGCTGTGTGCTTATGCTTGCTCACCTTCAAATTTCTCAAGTATGTGCACCGTGTCCCCCACTTGTAGACACAGCTCCTGTTCACCACTGGCATCATAATTGTAGATCACTGAAGGACAAAGCAGGACTGTCTCATAATGTGAATCTCACACACACACACACACACACACACACACACACACACACACACACACACAACAAAAACTGTTAACCAAAAAAAATTAAATAAAAAGGTTCGGGCAGACAGATTGATTGACGAGTTTTGTTCCTCCTCAAGGTCCGGTGAATTACTGCAAAAACCCCAAATCCCTTTTCAATCACTTATTGCACAGAGGAGCAAGTCTGTTTTAAAAGAAGTTCTGGATCAGAGGTTTGCAGTTTCTCACTGGAAAAAAGAAACCAATTCAACCTCCATGTCACAGAGCACGCACGCGCAGCAGAGAGGATCTTGATCTTTGATTTATTCCTCATCTTATTGCGTTTTCTAAAAGCAGGCAGTGTGTTTGTGCAGCACGCCTATGTGACTCAAACCTCTAAAGCGTTCGTGCTATTTTTAATTGAATTGGATGCCTTCGGGCTGTGATTAACGTTCCAGTAAATAGACCGCGCCGGAGCAGGTAGTTTCAGTGTCAAACGTGAGGAGTACCGCTAAAAAAGCAATAGCATCAGACTCTCCCTATATCCGATAACATGCGTGCTGTGACCTTTGGTCGGCAGTTACACTTGCAGCCTGTGTTTCTGCCAAGTGACTCACCTGCAAGCGCTGCCCCTCCCTGTGCTCATTTTTAACCTTGCAGCTTTCCTGGAGGCAGCTCCTATCTTTTCCTTTTTAGCCGTTTACCAGGACAGACATTGGAGGGGTTAATACAAGAAAATGCTTGTGCGTAAAAACATATGTACACTCACTCATATACACACACATGCGCGCGCGCATAAAACTGCAAAAGAGAAACCTTGGCAAACACTACTGTAGCAAAGGTCTTATTCACGACTTGAGGGAGCTGCAATAACGCGCAGCCACTCATTCTCACAGTAAGATGGAGGAACTATGAGCAGAGCTCTGCCCTGACTTGCATGGTGATAATGCTTGTTGCTGGAGGCCAGATTTCACTGCACGCTCCAACTGGCTCAGCTTATCACACCTCAGTCTGAATACCAAAACTTGACAAATCACTGAATGTGACTGCTTTTCCTTCTCTTTGACTTCCTCCTCATCGGCTTTCCATAAAACACATTTTTGCTTGAGACTTTGTTTGCATTTCTGCGCAAAAAAAACTCCTGGAATATCACGTTGGCTTTTGACGGCTGTTTTGTTAGGAGCACCTGGACAGGTGTGAGGTTCTTCCTTGTGTCAACAAAATAGACAGCTAGTGCAACCTAATAATAGTTCAACTTTTCCTGCTTTTGAACATGAACATGAACAGAAGCGACAGATGTTGTTTTCCAATCCCAAATCTAAAAAAAAAAAAAAAAGATGGTGTGCAAAATGTAAATAATAACAGATTCCAATGTTTTGTAGAGCTCAGAAACACAATTCTATTTACAACAGAACAAAGTCTCAAATGTTTAAAGTGAGAAAATGTATCACTGTAAGAAAAGAAGTTGGGATGCAGAAACAAAAGGATGGAGATGTAAGGGGAAGAAAAAAAATAGCTGCTAAAACTGCAGCTAAAGAGGTTAATGGGGAGAAATCTCTGTGCGCAAGGACAATGGAAGTTAGTATTCCATGCCCATGCTCTTTGGGCCCTCAGGCAGCACTGCATTAAAAACAGACATGATTCTGTCATGCAAATCACTGCATGAGCTCAGGAATACTTCCACAAGTGGCATAGACAAATGCAGGGTAAAGCTCTATTGTGCAAAGAAGAAGCTGTATGTGAACATGATCCAGAAACACTGCTGTTTACTCTGAGCCAAGTTCATTTAAAATGGACAAACTGGAAAACTGTGGTGAGACTAATCCAAATTTGAAATTCTTCTTGTAAGTCCTCCCGACTAAAAAAAAAAAGAGAGGGACGATCTGTTGCTCAGCAAAAAAGCCTGTATCTCTGACGGTCTGGGGATCCATTAGTGTCTATGGAATTGGGAGCTTTGATTATGTCTTTTGAGCCTAGGGCTTCCATTTTTCAGCAAGACAATGCAAAAACCACATACTGCATCTATTACAATAGCATGACTTAATAATAGAAGAATCCGGTTGCTGAACTGGCCTGTCTGTCGCCGAAACCTTTCACCAACTGAAAACATTTGGCCCATCATGAAATGAGAAATGGGGGACTGCTGAGCAGCTATAATCCTGTCAGACAAGAACGGGACAACATTCCTCTACCAAAAGTCCAATAAATGGTCTCCTCAGCGCCCAGATATTTACAGACTTTTGTTAATAGAAGAGGGGACGCTATACAGTAGTAAACATGGCCCCCCTGACCCAACTTTTTTGAGACATGTTGCTGTCATCAAATTCAAATGTAACTTATTTGTTTTTCCTGAAATGGTAGATTTTCTCATTTTAAACAAGTGATGTGGTTTCTATGTTCGATTGCGAATAAAATGTGTTTATGAGATTTGCAAATCATTGCATTCACTTTTCATTTACAGTTTACACAGTCTGAACTTTTTTGGAATCGTCTTTGTATTTAAAAAGAAGTTACAGGCATACTATGAATCACCAGGAAATTAATTATATATGCAGCCAGAATATGTGCACTGAAGAAAATGACATCTGCCTCTAGTCAAGCCAAGAGTGACAATGGGCCATTCACCAACTTGACAGTGTCCGGGCCTGGCAAGAGCCACACTGTCTAAAGCAAAAGCATCAGTCTGGGCTCTGGCAGCAAAGCTAATCTGTGCCACTCTGAGGCACCCTGTCTTCCTCTTAAACTTCAAATGCTGAGCCTGTAGCTACTGTTGTAAAGTCCAATAAAGCTCTATCGGCACAAGTTCAAGTTAATGAGCATGCTAATGTTAAATCAGAGTCAGCCTGATTCCCCCTAAATGATTTACCATAGAGGTGCACTAGCCAACAATTAAAGAACACCCCAGTCGAAGAGTTTGGGCAGCCGCTGGCAGCTCATCAAAGTTAACACAATACAATGAGAATCTATTGTTCTTAGTGCTGACTGGGCATGAAAGGACCATTGCATGACCAAGATAAAACAACTCAGCATTAAAAGAAAAGAAAAAAAAACAGCTTTAAATGATGAAAGAATCAATTTCTGAAAGAAATCCTTGAAAATGTTACTATACAAATCCTCTGCATTCAATGTAGAAAAGCCTTCAGTGCAGTAAAAAAAAATAAAAATAACATAAAGTCCATAATGGGATAGAAATACTAAGTGCCACGCTGCACGGGGTTTGATGCACAGGCAGCATATTCATTTATACAAAATCAAATCACTTTTCAGATGCAACTACTAAAATATTATTATTTCCTCCTATAAACTACCACTCAGTGATGTATCACATCCAGTATCTCTTGTGGCATACAAATGTCATACACTACCAAAAGCAGGGACAGGTTCAGTTAGTATCTCTCCAAAAAGCCATTAGATAAGTAAGTCTATTAAGGTTTGCTTTTGAGCCAATTCTCCCCCGGCAGCATTTCTCAAAAGGTAAAGGCCTCACAAGAAAAGCCTCGAGCCTCCCATCTCCTTGTCTAGACAGCCAGAAATGATCTTAAAACTGTGCTCCAGCTAATAAGTCTTTTTATGTTATCCATAAATCAGAAAGTTAATTCTTAAGTTCAAAGCAAAAAGTGCAAAAAAGGATAAAATTAGAGCAGCTTGGGTTCATCTTTTTATTTGGGTAGGGGGAAAAAAACCCTGCTGCAACATTAAACAGAAAAAGAAAATTAAAAAAACCTTAGAAGTACAGACATCTTTCACCAGGTTGTAAAAGAAGAAGGAGATTCATCTGCTATTACGTTTTAAAAGCAAACAGGTATTGGTTCAGTCTGTCCGAACTGAGAACGAAGGCAGCACTTATCTCCAAATCACCGGCTGCAGTTAGGTTTGACATGGCAAGATTGGCAAACTGGGGGATGTAATGACTGTGATGTATTTACGCTGCAAAGCCAGTGGATTTTGTTAATAACAACCTCCACCCCCCAACCCCGCCCGCCCCAGGCAAGCAGAGAGAACAAAAGTAAGCGGTTCATCATTTTAAAGAAAATGCTACATGCTATTTATTGCCTAATTTCATCAAGTGGAAGTTGTGGTGGCTAGAATGGCAGCTCTCTGAGGAAAACTTCAGGTAATAAGAGGAGGCAGAAGTGTTGCTTGTAAGAAACTGTAAGACAGCTTTTACAATTATGACTCAATTATCACACAAGCCGCTTATTGTTACTCAGAAATGTTTATTGTTACTTCACTGGAACTGTCTCGACTTCCCTGCACTAAAGGGTGTTCATCAGCTTAAATTTGTATGTATGTGAACAAGCATAACTGTGACACAGCTATTTTCACAGTCATTGTGGGCCAACAAACTGCTTACACAAGACTGATTTGGACACCTGATGCACCCAGGGCACGTAAAACGATAGCGCACCACTCAGTTTATCGGGAGACATCACGGTTATAATGAAACTAACTTTCACATTGTGCTTTTAAGAATTTTTAGATGGTCTATTACATTTTCTTGAAGAGTGTAAGCCCTTCTCAGAAACACATTATTATTCAAGGCGATATTTTTAGGCCTCTTCAAACATTTCTGAAGGGGCCCTTTTAATGAGTACCGCCAGCGAGTAAGTGTTGTTATCAAATAATACTGTGAGCGTCGCAATGGACAGTTCTTAAAAGGGATAAGGTTCGATTTAGCACAGCCAGAAAATTCATGTTCTTATTCCAGACTAGTGGGAGAGGTCTGCTTTGACAAGGGTGGAGGCGCACTGATGGAGCGGTTTTGTTCTCCCCGTAGTGGTTCCTCTGTATGTATGCACGGCTAACAGGAGATACATCAGAATTTAATTGTGCAACATTTTGCAGAGGCAATAAAGGCATGCTATTCTAAATCTAAAGGAGCCTTGTATAGACTGGCAACCAATCTACCTCCAAGCAGAGATGAGCTACAGCTTCAGAAGTCGAAGAAACTTCTTTCATGCTGCACACTATATTAGTGGATTTACCAGCCAGTGCTGATAAGACTTTGATGGATTTCATGGAAAATTCCATTATCAACATAGCTGCCTATATTCTTTAACTATGCATAGAGTAGGTATGGGGAAACAACAGATACACTCACGATACTTCACTCAAGATACAATATTATTGAGAATTTTTACCTTTTTCTTAACATTTTAACAGAATATTGCAAAGACATATGCAAATTAACAACTGCAAATTAAGCCCTCACGGTTAAACTTGGTTTCATCCAATAAGATAAAGTTATCTTACCCCAGTCTTTTTATTGTTGTAAAATGAGTCAAACGTGCCAACACTGTCACTAAAACCTGCCATAAATGTTGCCATAAGCTAGACTTCATAGACGTAAGGAGGCTAGTGTCCTATTTTCATTTGTGTGACTGAGCCATTAGCGTGTTCTGAATTAGGCAGTTGCTCTGTAAGTGTGTCCAGTGATAGATAATTTTTCACTTGAGTCAATTTAGTGTACGTCAGCTCCACTAACATTCTCTCAGTGTGGTGGTGCATTAGATGAGCCCTCTTGTTTGTAGTATCCCATTTACTTTATAAAACATAGATCTTTCGTGTCCCTGCATCGATAAAATATCTCCATACAAACTATCACAGTACTACGCTGTACTGAACACACAGCATTTATAGTGAAACAGGAAGAAAAAAATTATAATAGAGTCATTGTAACAACAGGGTCACTTCAAAAACTGGTCACAGTTTACAATAAAAAGGCAGGCACCAGCTGCGATGTGTCATTAGCATAAAAACAATGAAGTCAACGCTGCTCTACTGGATAAACTGTGTGAATTTCATTCGTAAAATACCCCAAGCATCTTCTCCTGCATTATATTTCCTTGTCGGCGCACATAATACACAGCATACACACCAACAGTGGCATATCTGAAGCAGGCCAATATTAGCCGGGAATTTAAATGTATTGGTCGTTCTGTATTCCGTACCTCCAGGTTTTTTTCTTCTTCCTCAGACGTGAAGTCCCGACTGATGCTGACTCAACTGCCATCACCTGAGGTAATTTACCAGATTTTCCAGAGCTCCCTCTGGAGCCACACATGTGTCATCACTCCCCAAGACCTGGTGATTTCAATGCCTTTGAGCCTCCAGGGCAGCGTTTCTCTTCTGGATATAAAAAATATGAAGCTATCCTATTATGACAGTGTCACAAATTCACCATTACAGCTCTTAAGCTCCTTATTATTCACATTTCCCCATTAACTAGTGTGATATAACTGATATGATCAGAACCCTTACAATCTCTTCTTTCATCCAAAAAAGTGTAGTTGCCCGTATTTGAGCACAGCCTTGGTTAACTAATCGGATTAAAAATGTAAGCCCTTGTACGGGGGTCTGATGGCATTTTAAGGATTACGTACAATGTTAGTGACTCCTGCCTTGTTTCTGGGGCAAGAAAAATAATGTCAGGAGAATGGCACCATCTACGCAATCAATCAGAGATACGGTTTTGAAAAACACACTGGGATCTAAAAGGATTAACATATATATATATATATTCCTCGATATCAGCTGCTAAAACAAGGTCACATGCAAACCAAAAGGCAGAGTTTGTGTGCAGAGAAACACATGCGGCCTTAGAATTGTGGCTTAGAAATATTTTTAGTCACAACAGCAAATCGAGCACAGAACATTTTATTTAAAGCCAAAATAAAGTCATGGGCGGGGGATCCAGGTTAGAGAACACAGCCAAGGTATTTCAGTCCTAAGCTGTGATTCATCCAGAGAAGAAGAAAAAAAAGACACCAGATATATTCACTCTCATGTGTGTAGTACACCAGGAAGCGATATTGGTGAGTGTCTGTAGCTTAAAGCAAAAGATCCAGCAGTGACTCAGGGAAGAAACCGATGACCAGACAACCTGTGTAGGCTATAAAATCTTTACAGTAAACATCAAAGGGATTCCTAACAGAGACAACAGTTGTGCTGATTTGCCTTGAGGGCGTGGATAACTGGTACCTGATAGCACGAGCATACGTGTATGCATTCATACATGCAAAGTAAACTGCAAGCTCACACACACACACACACACAGGTGGAAGGGCCACACCTTAGTTTAACAAACTTAAGTGTAAAATACAGTCGTGAGGACCACAAACATATGCTACGTGGTCATGGTCCACTGCATTGACACATTACAGTCTTATGTAAATGTAGCCAAATGCCACTTGTCCACAAAGTTCCTCTCGTGCCTATGCAAATAACATTCCTCCACTATCTCACATGAGGCATGCAGTCACAGCAGCGGATCCCATGTGGGGGCCCGACAGGAGTCCTTGAAGGAAAGGACCTTTCAGCAAAATGACGATTCATTCAAGTTCACCTTAACTACAGCACAGCTTCAGCTCGGCGGGATTATAAACTCAAGAATGGCTGATACGTTCACTGAACTCCCGGCTCTTCCCCCATTTCTCCTCGCACATTGTAGTAACTGAACTGTAAATAATTTCTCACTTAAAACCAAACTGCACAGAGGGACAAACGGGAGAACAAGCCCCTACAGGGAAGCTTGTGAAACCCAGTTGGGCAACAGTGTGGTAACAATCACTTCAGGTCACAAACAACAACAGCAACAAAGTCGCCAGTAACTTAAGTTTCCCAACTTCCCGACTCTTGTCCCTCTTGAAGTTGGTGGAGTTTCTGGGAGTTAACGCGGAGAGTTGTTCACTAGCAAAAGAAAATAATAAAGAGGGGTGGTGGGCACGTAGTTAAATACAAACACTTACCCACTCCGTACTTCTCTTTTTTAGTAGGAATCCAGCGGGTCATAGCTGAGGGGGAAGACGTGAAGTTGGGTGGATAAATAAATAAGTATATACACTTGCTAACCGAGGGCGGGCGGTGCACTCCTGCTCGTCCCGAGATCTACAGTTCCGCCATCATAACTTGTTCACGGGGAGGGGAGAGGAGGGCACAACACGGCCGAGAGAGGAGAGAGCGGGATAGGCGTGAACCATTCACTTGACGAGCTAACCCCCAACCCCCAGCGCAATACAACGCAGGGCAGTCCCACAATACACCGCAGGGACTTATTTCATCAAGGGGAGGTAGTTGTCCCAGGCAACCTTAGTCCCAGCAGCTATTTTGCTCTCGCCATCAGTCAATCGATAACTTTAACAGTTCCTCATAAATCCTCAAATGAGCTTCAAATTGAATTCGGGGAAATTAGAGAAGACTGAACTATCTCTCGCTTTGCTCCAGTGACTCCCGATAGTGTCGGTTTCAGGAGGCCACTGCCTCACAAGTTGACAATCTTACAGAGGAATAATTAATTGAAGACAGAGTTATAAATCACTGATGAGCAATAAATAAATGATAGCCAGGTTATTGTTTTTTAATTCAAAATGAGATTGAACTGCAGAGTCCCTGCTGCAGCTGGTGGTGCTCAGCACTGTGTGATACTGCAAATGTTGGTACCAGTATCGGTATACCAATACCGAGAATGATACTTATACCTTAAAGGCAGCTTACATGAGGGAGATCACTGTGTCATGACTTATCATCCAATTACAAGTTCTTCACACATTTGAACAATTTTATACACTTTGCTTTTTATTTTCCACAACAATTAGCACAACAAAACACACCTTTCAAATGTTCATTTATTTTTGAAACTATGTTTTTGGAGACGTGGAATATAAATGAGCCTGTCTTTAAAGCACTTAGGGCCAAGTTCTGTTGTTTAAATGTGTTATAGGCTATAGACATTTTAATAGTATATTTAGCATATTTTTTCATTTTCAAAAAACAAATATTTATTTATCACAATCCTGTGGGCTGCATACTGACTTTGGGAAAGAAACAAAATATTGATCCTGTCATGCTAGTATCAATACCAATATCAGCGTTGGTATTGGTACTACTGATATTTGGATTGTTCGGCCCCTCTCTAGTTATGCTCTCATAGTCAAGACTATATCTGATTTAACTGTGGCCCATTCCATGCAAGCCACAAAATTAGGAGAAGCCTATGGAGGCAATGCCAGAAAACACAACTGCTGATTTGTCCATCAGTGAGATGAGACTTCACCCTTTCCCCTCCCTTTGCCTTCCCATCCCCTACCCACTGAAGTAATTTACAGCTGTTGGCTCTGAGATCTGGTAGCCCATTCAGCCTTTTGTTTGCCCGTCATATGTGTTTATTTTTCTGCTGCCACTGGTCAACCAAATGGTGCTGTCAGTAATGTTCAGCCGTGGTGCTTTTGTTGTACCAGGACAATTTCCATTATTCTGTCCCCCATCTATTGTGATGTGTCTCTTTTTTGAACACAGCTTGTAATGAATTATTACTAATGCAGAGCAGTCTGATTAGAAGCTGTTATTTAAAAAAGGGTGGTGGTGGTGGTGTGGGGGACTATTAAACATATGGGAACTACAAAATAGCACTTTATAAGCCTATAGACAAAACTGTAATTAATTAAAGCCGGAAAGCATTTCTGCTCTTAGTTGATAGGATTTTGAGTGACTGTGCATGTTTTCTTTCTGCTGTAAGTTTAACCAGTTTTACAGAGCTAAATGGTTTAAGTACACTGACTGAGGCCATCCAGAATACTGGGGACCAGGGATGTATTTTGTAACTGAATTTTCAAGGTTATGACTTGAGCCGTTACAGATGATTATTGTGACCTATTTCTGGCTGAGCCGTAGGTGCTCGCTGAATTCATTGTAGGAGGGTGTTCGCATCTGCTCGTGCCCTTTTTGCCTCTGATTCTTCTTGTGCTTTGGGCAAAATCTCTCATATGAAATGTAAAGAGTTGCTTTTGGGAAGTTATAAAGAAAACACTCAAGCTTGCAAAAAGGAATGCAACAGTGCCATCACCTGACTGCTGTCTGCTATTGCAGTACTATAGATAAGCCTCATTCTTGAGTCACATTTATGGTCTGCCATGGTATTTTTTTAAATATGTACTTCTGCTCTTCCTCCATAAGGAGAAATCATGAAATTTAGATGGGTGTCTGCGTGCACTGGTGTGTTAGTGTGTGTGTTTGAAAGAGAGAGAGCGCGAGAGACCGAGTTACAAGCTGACTGAACCCCAGAGTTCACCTGAAGTTTAATGCTCCATAAGCAATAGAAGGAGACAGCCTGTTCCTTACTAGAAACCCCTTTTGCCCTCATTGTCTCATTTAGATCAGGTCAGGCAGACGCCTGCGCTACTCTTTGACTAGGTGCAGTATTTTGATAATAAAGCCTCCTTTTTCTGGAAATAAAACAGTTTATAATCCAGCCATGTGCACATGTGCAAAGTAAATGGAAACAGGTTGCACAAGCAGCTCAGAGCCACAACAGCTGGGACATAAACACTGTTTGTTCTCAGCTTCCTACATGAAAGCAAAGAAGTTGTCCTGGTGATGAGGATGTGCTGCTGATATGGTAGATAAAAAAAAAATCAGAGCTAGCAGTAATGTTTTTGTCTTTATTGCGGGATACACTATCCGTTTACATTGCCTCTCAGTGTATCGTCGGACAGATGAATGTGCATCTAGTATGACAGACAGCTGAAATAATAATAAATAAGCTCTCAATCCAGCGTCCACCTTGTTATTTTCTGCTGCATTTGCTCTGGCTTTTGATGAGTTTTTTTCTGCAGGGAAAAGCTTGAACGCATATGCCCGTGTGTGTGCATTTTGTTTTGTTTTTTGCGGCATGCACAAAGATGAAGCACAATGGGCATCCATATGTATGAAGTGTTATAAAGCTTGACCTGAGTTGACTTTTCCTCAGCGTCGGGAATTACTAAACTCAGTGAATTCTGATTTTCTAGTATAATGTGAGGAAAGCACGGAGGCCTCAGAGACTTCTAAGTGGAAGGGATCTGAGCACAGAGTCGCACTGCCCCCTCTGAGGGAAGGCGGTTCAGTTCCTGAAACACAAGTTGACAAAAAAGGCTTAATGGATTTATAGGTCCACAGCCAGAACCACAAGATGCCAAAGGCAAATTGGGGTTGGGCATCCACCTGGCTGTCAGGCTGCAGATACAGGTAATTGCTCAGTCCAGCAGCTCTTTGAGGATAGGTCAATGCCCTGCCAGTGCATGACAACTCTACATCCTGGGGCACCGGCTCCTGTTGACTTTCTCTGTTGTTTCTTTTTCTGAGACATTTGTAGTTTTGAAAAAAAAAAAAAGCTTCTGTTTCTCATGTTTGCTGCATGCTTTTGAAGCCTGCTGACGTGTCACCACATTTCCTGTGCAAAGATCCTAATTAGATAAACAGTGTTATTTCCACAGGACGATAAATGTAGCCCTCACATGACTTAAGGAAATATACAGTGTCAATATATGTGATCACACCCTCCACTTTCACAGGTATAGTCTAAGCAAGCTTCAGCACATTTGTATCCACATGCCTAACATCTCATTTTCAGGTTGTGATGCAAGAGAAGGGATGCACCCTGAGGCTTTCCCATTTGTCTCCATCTGACTCACTGAAGCATTCTTTGTAGCACTGAAAGTGGGTGCATGAGGCCATCTGAAAATTGAAGCTAAGCTGTATGTACACATGAGAATCTATTTATAGAACTGGAGTTTGCAACCTCTTTAAATGAAATGGTCTCTGCCTGCTGCCTTCCAGGCCAGCGTGAGGGCTCTTTTGACACAGGCTTTTTAATTAGACCATTCTCTCAGATCAGCAGAGGGAGCTGCAACTCTTATCCAGATTTCCGTGTTTAACATCCATCCAAAAAAAAGAGAAAAAGACAGACTGCAGTGCCACCACAATCACTGTCTGGACCGGAGCCTGGGAGCACATGCCCGCCCACCCACAATTTAAAACCCATAATCTGGACGACAAGTGCTGCTTTCAAGGTGAAAACACCATCTTTCCAAAGACATGGAAAGCATTCATTCCTGCAGTGATTTAAAAAAAAAAAAGAGTTCATGCTCATGTTTTCTTATGCATGTACACCAGAGTGTATCAAAGTGCAGCTTTTTGTTTTAACAAAACAACTTAATTAATATTCCATAAAAGACCACAAAAGATTAGTAATGCTGGGATTCTGCTTTGTAGATTAGTGCTGTGCCAGACTGCAAATTTTGGTCGTATCAGTCACCCTAGTATTGAGCCGATACCAATATCGGCATTGATATTGAAATTATCGATACTTTCATGATATTTGTAACAATCTACAAACCACTATTACTCCTGAGATTTTTACCCTTTGGAAATTATAATGATAGTGATCATAACAGAAGGTCTATATTCAATTTTTAATGTTGACTATGTCAAATGATCCAGGGTGTTTACACAGGAGTGGATGTATATCTATTGACTAGTAATTTCTTTCTAAATCTGACACAAAGTTGAATCAGTTAATTTCATCTACATCATAAAACAAGAGTTTACACTTACTGTACAATCCTGACACTTTTTTTAGCTTGGTTTTTGTCAATATCTCCTGCTGCACCTCCAGCTCTTTGTTTACCTTTGGAAATTATAATGATAGTGATCATAACAGAAGGTCTATATTCAATTTTTAATGTTGACTATGTCAAATGATCCAGGGTGTTTACACGGGAGTGGATGTATATCTATTGACTAGTAATTTCTTTCTAAATCTGACACAAAGTTGAATCAGTTAATTTCGTCTACATCATAAAACAAGAGTTTACACTTACTGTACAATCCTGACACTTTTTTTTAGCTTGGTTTTTGTCAATATCTCCTGCTGCACCTCCAGCTCTTTGTTTTCTCTCTCTCTCTCTCTCTTTTTTTCATCAAAGGGATGTAACTCTTGGAGGTCTCCAGTGGGCCCCGGTGATAGGCCTCCCTGCCTCTAACATAGTGTTATGCCCAGAAGAGGAAGAGGGCCATAAGATTTATACACCAGTCCGTTCACAGCCCAAATGTGACAGATGAAACACGAGCTGAAAGTCAGTATCTGAGAGATGAAATGTGATAAAAAATAATACAGCCTTGCTTTGATATGCTGCATTTACAGGGGATCTGTGCCCCACTGTGCCCTGAGCTGCTTC